AAGTTTCCCAGGAGGTGACAGGCAGGTGGACTCTGGCAGTGATTAATGCTTCTCTACAGGAGGGGACGGTGCCCCAGCACTTTAAGGAGGCTGTGGTCTGCCCTCTTCTGAAGAAGCCATCGCTGAACTCCACCCGGTTGGATAATTTCCGACCTGTCTCCAATCTTCCCTTTTTGGGGAAGGTTGTTGAGAAGGTGGTCGCGCAGCAGCTCCAGAGGTTTCTGGATGAAACGGATTATCTCAACCCCTACCAATCAGGATTCAGGCCTGGATTTGGGACAGAAACAGCATTGGTCACACTTTTGGATGATCTCTGGCGGGAGCGGGATGGGGGTAGTGCATCCATCCTTGCTCTACTTGACCTCTCGGCAGCTTTTGATACCATTGACCATGGGATTCTCCTGGGACAGCTTCAGGAGATGGGAGTGGGAGGCCTTGTGCTGTCTTGGTTCACTTCCTTCCTCTGCGGCCGCTCTCAGTCAGTGTTGATAGGAGTGGAGAGATCCAACCCTCGCCCACTGCTTTACGGGGTTCCGCAGGACTCGGTGCTCTCTCTGCTCCTGTTCAACATTTATATGAAACCGCTGGGTGAGATCATCCATCACCATGGATTGAGGTATCACCAATATGCTGATGAGACTCAGCTGTATATCTCAGCCCGTGGTGAGTTAAGTGTTGCTGTGTCCTCCCTCTTGCAGTGCCTGGAGGCTGTTAGGGGCTGGATGGGGAGCAACAGGTTGAAATTAAACCCATGCAAGACCGAGTGGCTCTGGGTCTGGGTTTCATTGGTTCAGGGAGAATTACCACCTTTAGTCTTGGATGGGGTGGCACTACCCCAAACAGACCCTGTGCGTAATCTGGGGTTTTTCCTGGACTCACGACTCTTATTTGAAGAGCAGGTGGTGGTCGTGGCCAGGAGGGCCTTTGCGCAACTGCGGGTTGTGCACCAGTTACGCCCTTTCCTGGATCAGCGGTCCCTACTCATAGTCACTCATGCCCTGGTCACTTCCTGTCTTGATTATTGCAACGCGCTTTACATGGGCCTGCCCTTAAAGAGCATCCGGAAGTTCCAGTTGGTGCAAAATGCAGCGGCCCGCATGGTTTTATGCAGACTCCGGTGTGCAAATGTATCACCTCTCCTGCAGGAGCTGCATTGATTGCCAATTTGCTTCCGGGTGCAATTCAAGGTGCTGGTTGTCACCTTTAAAGCCCTTAACGGCTTGGGTCCGGGTTATCTGGGGAAAGAACTCTTGCCAGTGACATCTACTCAACCCATTAGAGTGAGGAGGCAGGGAATGCTGAGGGTCCCACCCCTGAGGGAGATACACCTGGTGGGACCTAAAAGAAGGGCCTTCTCTGTGGTGGCTCCATCTCTCTGGAACATCATTCCCCCAGAGATTAAAATGGCCCCCTCGTTAATACTATTCCGAAAGGCACTGAAGACCTGGTTTTGCCAGTGGGCCTGGGGAACCCAGAGAGGGATGGAACCCATCAGATGGCTAGTGTGACCCGCTGTCATCGGGGTGGAGGGGTGGGAGTTGTTTTTTGTTTTTGTTTTGTTTTCCCAAATTTTGTTCTATTGTACTTTACTAATTTATTTGATTCTTTTTGTTAGTTCTTATTGTTTTTGTTTTTATTTTTTGTTTTAAATATGATTTGACATTGTGTAAGCCGCCTTCAGTTGCCATGGGCGAATAGGCGGCAATATAAATCAAATAAATAAATAAATACTTATGCAATATCAGGAGTTTTCAATTCAATTGTATAGAATGTGAAGAATGTGTTTGTGTTTTATTTTTTTATGTATAATGTACATTGAAGATGGCATTTAATTTTGTTGTACAAGATGCAATGACAATAAAGTAAACTAAACTATGCATTGATGCACAGAGGCCTTGTCCGCACCCAAGACGGCGACGGTACTGCCACAGGAAGAACCTATGCAGTTGGGTGTGCAGATGCGCGTGACCTAAGCTGAGGAAGACCAGTGGCATCGCAAAGGCCTTTGCTTGCATATAGCGGCCACGTGCCCCACAAAGACAACCAAACCGGTGGCGGGATTGGTGGTGGGGAAAGGGCAGGGCCCAGTCTATAGGGCTATGTAGGCAGGGCTCATTTGGATGGGGATCGCCCCAGCCTCATAACCAACCCCTTTGCAGCATCTCATTCTCACAGTGATTGTGTCTTTGCCAGGTCAGGAAGAGGTGGACTTGGGGGCACCAGCAAACTTTATGGATTTGGACTTTGCTACGCATTGGGCCATTCCGCAGCAGCTGGTATTGGTGGAAACAACTGACAGTCGGCTGTGCAGTCAGGACCGGTGGTCATGTTGGCGAGACCCCTTCACATGCATATTTGGGCATATGTGGAGAAGTTGGTGTTTTACATGGCTGCGGCGCCAAATTCGCCGTTGGTGCTTGAGTTGGAGTGTTTGCTGGATCATGAACCGCAGGTCATTTGGTCATCCGGAGTGGTGCATTCACCAGCCTGAAGTTTGCTGCTCATCATCTTCATACTTGTGCAGGGGGTATGGTGGAGGGGCCAGTCTTGGACTAACCAGCTGAGCTGGTGGAGTACACCAATGTATTCAGGAAGAAGGAGGTGGATCAATTGCTCCGCAACAACCCTAAGCCTGATTGAGCTCATGCCTGATGCGAAGTAGCCAGTCAGCTGGATTTACTCACTCTCAGAACCAGAGCTGGCGGCCTTGTGGGAGTTCATTGATAAGAATCTTTGGAAGGGGTTCATCTGGCCTTTGACCTCCTTATTAGCCACGCTGGTGCTCTTTGTTAAGAAGTCAGGGGAGCTCAGATTGTGCTGTTACTACCACAAGTTTAATGCAACCACAGTATGGAATCGGAACCCACTCCCGCTCATTCCTGAACTCATTGAGCGGCTCTGCCAGGCCAAGATCTTTACCAAGTTGAACTTGAGGGGAGCCTACAACCTTGTCCAAGTTTGAGCCAGGGACAAATGGATGTGCTATGGCCACTTCAAGTACAACGTCATGCTGTTTGGATTGACCAACATGCCCGGTGTGTTTATGCATTTCATATACAATGTCTTCCAAGATCTGTTGGACCAGTTTGTGGTCATCTACCTGGATGACATCCTCATCTATTTGTTCTCATTGTGAAAGCACTAGGACCATGTCCGGCAGGTCTTGCAGTGCCTGTGAGCGAACCACCACTTTGCTAAGCAGGAGAAATAATAAGACCAAGGAGCTTATAGTGGACTATAGAACAGGGATTGCCAACCTTTTGGACCTCAGGGACCACCAAACTCATAATTTTAAATCCCAGGGACCACTAACCGGTTCTGTGGGTGTGGCCTAATTGTGGGTGTGGCTTGGTGGTCATGTGACTGGCTGGGCATGGCTTGTATATAAATATTATAAATATTTATATAAATATTGAATTTTTTATAAAAAAAGAAGCAACTTTTACCCAAAATCAGGCAAAGCAGGCAAGCAGATTGAGTTACTCACAGAATCATTCAGTGATCTATCTGCCTTCGGCTAGCTCAGTTTGTCACATAAAATTTGCTTGCAAGCAAACTCACAAAATTAACTCACAACACACCATGTATGTAAATATAGATTTTTTTATAAAAAAAGAGCAACTTTTACCCAAAATCAGCCAAAGCAGGCAGGCAGATTGAGTTGCTCAGATTCATTCAGAGATCTATCTATCTGCCATCAGCTACCTGAGTCTGTCACATAAAATTTGCTTGCTGTGAGTCTGCACTGAATAATATCTTCAGTCCTAAGGGAGGTTCGGCTGTGCTTAAAAGCAGAGCAAAGATCTAAAGATTAGCTAGAAAGCAAGTAATCCAACCATTTCCTGCTTCCTAGCTAATCTAAATCTCCCAGCACAGCAGAACAGCTGATGGTCAGAAGAAGAAAAAAAAGGAAAAATAGCAACTTAGCAGGAAAGTTTGCCGGGTATGGAATGAGTGGGCGGGGAGGGTTCCCGCGGGCCATGTGGGCGGTGCAGCCTTGTGTTCCTGCGCAGCTTGGAGATGGACTGGGATAAAGTGGAGGCACTGCAGCAATGGCAGCCCCTGCGGCAGGTGAAGGACATAAAACGTCTGTTGCAGTTTGCCAACTCATTTCCCATTTTGCCACCGACAACCCCCTTGTCCACTTTACTCAAGAGAGGGGTAAAGTTTCAGTGGGGTGTGGAGGAGCAAGGGACCTTTGAAGCCATCAAGCCTGCCTTTGTCTCTGAGTCTATTCTCAAGCATTGTGATCCATTGTGGCCATTTGTTGTGGAGATGGAGGGGTCAGATGTAGCCAACAGGGCCGTGCTCCTCCAGGCTTACACTCTTCATGGAACCTTGTTCCTATGTGCCTACTATTCCAGGAAGCTGTCAGTGGCAGAACGGAATTATGCAATCTGGGACAAGGAGCTGTTGGTAGTCAAGATCACTTTCGAGACATGGTGACACCACTTGGAGGGGGCTGAACTGTGGCTGCTCTCAGAATTGTGCTGCTCCTCTGGACTAATAGCAGCCAGGAACTATTGGAGGTGCATGTTTAGAGATTTGCCCCTGGACTTGCAGTGAATTTTAGGAGAAAGGTGGAGCAATAAGGAGGAGTTAAGCCTTTGTTCTGGCTGTGTTGCTTCTATACCCAGCCCTGGGTAATCACACAGCACGACAGAACACAATTAATGTTGCTAGTTTCTGGGCAAGATTTGTTTAATTTGTAAATATTTTAATCTTGAATTTTGTATTTTAAATGTTATGTTGTGTAGTATGCCTTATTTTAATTGTGATGCTTCTAACACAAATAAATTGTTAGTTTGGCAGAAGCTGGGGTAAGTAACGGGAACTTATCCTGTTTAAGACAATATTTTAAATCCCATTTCAGGATCACATTGTGGACATGTCACAAGAGACTTAGAAACCATTGAAGTTATTAAAAGCACTGAAATTTATGGGAGATTCTTACTTCTATATGTAATTTGCATTCTAAGTACTCTGTGCTTTAGACTTACCACGCTTCTTACGCTGGATTCCAATACTTTAGCAACAAATGGCACAACGTATAACAATTCCTGCTGTCCTTTTACATAAGCTTCTAGCAGCAAAGATTTGACATCCAAATCCTAAAACAAATAAATGAGACAATGTCAGAAGCTAAATTGGTTTCTTTCGCATATTTTATTCATTCTTTATACATGCTGTGTTTGTAGGTCAATGCAGAAACCAGGGAACGGGAAAATATGGAAGGATCCTCACCGTGTGCAAGATGGGCTTATTCTTTGCCAGTGTTATCATCCCCAGCCAGTGACCCAGGTTCTTCAGCAACGAACGGTCTGAGAAGTTGGCAGCAGCTTTATCCGATGTAAGCAGCACCTACGTTTTTTCCAAAAGAAGAGAGAGCTTCTGTCAAGAAGAAAGAGTGCAAATCTGACACAATAGCTCTTCTGGGGATGCTCAAGCTATTCAGCATACTGGCTGAATAAAGAATACAAGCCTCATCTCACTCTTTTTTAACACGGGAGCCACTCTACTATGTTCTGCCATTCTGTGGCTTCTTGACCTGTAAATACATTACTCATGAAGACAATATCTGCGATTCCCATTTTACAAACACATTCCGCACTTGATGTGATTGACACAATGGAAGGCCTTTGTTAATTAAACTGACTTGTTTTGGGTATTCTTTGGTTTTCTCCATTTTCCAGTGTACATTATAAATAATGCCTTGTATTTCTTGGCATTTTCTAAAGCCAACTTGAACATCTGAGATCTCTTTTTTTGTGTAGGCCTCTTAATTTGCATTGGATGGAGCCAATATCTTAACACCCCTCCATAAACAGGAAAATAATTGGGGAGGGAAAAGTTATGTATGTTACAGTATCTAAATCTGGGTGTCAAACTTGATTTAGGGATGTATCAGGGTGAGCGTGGCCTCGGAGGCCAGGGTGGGCATGGCCAGCTTAACATCACTCATACTAGGGGCACCTGTGGTGGCCTGAGTGCTCTGCTAGAGAAAACAGGCTCCCAAGCTCCATTTTTGGCTGGGATGGTCTCCTGCTACCTTCTGCTAGCAAAGATGGAGCTCAGAAGGGGTGCATTTTCGCTGGCAGAGGCACTGTGGGCCAGTCCTTCACTATTTCCAAGTTGGCCCCACAGGCCAGATCTAAGCACCCTATGGGCCGAATCTGGCCCCCGGGACTTGAGTTTGACACCCCTGAACTAAATCACGATTGGTTTGCTAAGTTTCAATTAATGCATTCCATATCTGTTGCACAATTGATCTACCTTTGCAAAGCACTACGATGAAAATATGACTGTATGGCACCAACCTTGATATTTCTGTATGTTTCATTCAAAACCATTTTATTAAATTCTGGATTTTTAAGAGTGTCAAGGAAATTTGAATAAAGACTATGGAAGTTTGGCTCAATGCTAACTCTCTTCATCACAAGATACTGTGAAACCCAAGGCATGAATTCTTCTTTCACAGTTTCCTTCAGTTCCTCAACCTGGCTCCATAAACAAACAAGAAACAGAAAGGGATTAATGAAGTAATAGAACTGGAAATGATTCTGCAATTCATACAGATGAGGAATTATAAAGATCTGAAATAAAACAATAACTTCTGAAAATTGTTAAGTTGACAGAATGTGTATTCTGTTTTCAATAAATTGCTCAAATACAAATTATATTGAGATATTTCAATGTTGAAACTTTTCTTTTGATAGTAATATTTGCAGCACCTCATTCTTCCCAAAAAGCGCCTTAGATCAATTGTGTTACTAAATATATTTGCTTATGCACTTTGACAGAATGCACATTTACAAAACAGAAACTTTAAAAACTCATCAATTGCAAATAAAATGGTTCTACAGGAAGCTGGCCTAAGATAACCTTTAAAGTCTTAAAATATCTGGATATGTGGAAAAATAACGTGCAATGTTGAAGAAGTTCCAGATTTACATTTCAAAGACTGCTACATCAACATGATCATATTTAAACATTCCCGGGAACAAACAGAAGAGTGGTGGGAAAAGGAAGCTTTCACATATGCAAAAATATCAGGTTAGTCACTCCTTTCTTTGTATGTGACTATAACACAGGAAGTCCCTCTCCTCTCTCCTCCAAATCAGAGTTAAATTTGTGCAATATTTACCTTCTGAGTCATGTTGGATTGAGACAAATTATTAAAGATAAAAGCAATCTTTTCCTGAACATTTTCAGGTGGTTCTACAATCCTCTCTGTTTGATCTGTGGCCACTAGCAGAGTATCAATGTTTGTTGTATTAATAGAAGGCTGCAAAAGACAAACCACATTGAGAGTAGGAGTTAACTTAGGTAAGACTGCAATAGATCACAGGCATTCTTAGATAATAGGGTCCGATCCAGAGAAGCCTTGATGCCACACTCTACTATGGAGAACAGAAGCCAGAATCCTTCCTTGGAGAGCCAACAACAAATGAAATTTGTTAGATTCATGCAATGAAGCTGTTCAAGGGAAGCCTTTCCACATCTCAATGAACGCATGCGTCAAGAACTCCAGTCAGATCCTCCTTGGCTTAACTGCTGTTATCTCTGGTTGTGCACAAAGACATGGAATGAGCTGATCATGGGAATCAGTTCTCCTTCTCATGTCCAGATTCCCTGGGAGGGGGAGGGGGAGGAGGACAATGACAGATTGACACTTTCACCTGAAGAATTTCCACCCTTGTTTTAAAGCAAGACTGATAAAATATTTGAAGAGCTGCAAAGCAAAAAGGCAGGCAGAGAGCAGAATGTAGGCAATAATTGGTATATGTAATACAATTCAGAGTTAATTATATATAGGGAGTCCTCAACTTATGACCACAATTGAGACCAGTTTCTGCTGAGCTGCAAAGCAGCTGTTAAGTGAATCACACCTGATTTTATGACCCGTTTTCCCTTGATTGTTAAGCAAATAACTGCAGTTGTTAAGTGAATCACTAAGATCATCAAGCTTCCCCCACTGACTTTATCTGTCAGAAGCCTGCTGGAAAAGTTGCAAAATGAAGTCACATGATTCTGGGACACTGAAACCGTTGTAAATATATATATATATATTAGTTGCCAAGCGCCCAAATTTGGATCATGTGACATGGGCATGCTGTGATGGTGGTAACTGTGAGGACTGGTTATAAGTGGAGTACCTGAAAGGCATTAAATACAACAAAGCAACTTGGCTATTTGACTATATCCTTATTTAAGGACCAGAGTTTCTGGTTTCAAATGACAAACGAAAACCATTGCATTCATTTATCCCAAACCTCCTTTATTCAGGTGCTTTCTGCCGGATGCATGGAAGCAAAGACTTACTGGCACATCTTTCTTGAAGCTGACTCGACCCACAGGCGCAATGGCTGTCTTTGCGACAGTGCTGGTGGTGGTGGCAGTGGTGACTACAGTGCTAACCTGGCCAGCGAGAGGTGTCTTTGCTGGAGCCTGGGCCTGGGCCTGGGCCTGGGCCAGGGCAATACTTCCAGGGGTGGTGATGGACCCCTGCATCTTCACAGGAGGATCTCTCGACTGCTGTCCATATTCAATGTACTTCGACAGACAAGGAAAGGTTGTTAAAATTCACATACAACAAACCTTAATCCTAGAAGCCATTGCAGAAATATCTAATCTGTTTTTAATATATATTTTAATTATACATACATACTTTCTAATTTCTAATCTTGATATGTGACTATAAATAAAATAGTTATTTTTTTTCATGCATGGCATCTATAGAGATCATGCAATCACTGATATACACATTTGGTTGAAATAAAGTGTTAGCATACACATACTCTCTCTCTCTCTCTCTTTCTCTCTCTCTCTCTGTGAAAAAAACTAAAAGGTTTCTATAATGACTAAAAAAAGCCAATTTCAATTTTGGACAAATGATGAGTACAGGAATTTTTAAGTAATAGCATAATCTTTATAGTTAACAATGTTTGTAGTCCCATGTAAAAGTGCAATATGTCTACTTTGTACAGAAACTCTTCCAACTGGCATAAGATTAATGCAGAGATCCTAAACCTCCTAGGCCTGTAGAATACAAGATCTTTAAAAGCTTAACTCCCCTGTTCTTCTTCTGGCTACTTTCAGGACCCAGGTATAAGCAACAGGCATTTGCTCCACCCCTTTTCATAACCCTTTATAAAACATCTGGCAAAAATTAGAAGGAATTCAAGTTAGCTGTTCTGTAACTGTGATACACTGAGAGTTAAAGCTAAGGGCAATTTTCCATGCAGGAACTTGTTTTTCTTCCCTTAAATGATGAAAGCTTGTTGCAAAGAATTTTTACAAATCCTTACATGCCTTTTTGTAAGTGATACTGAACACAAGCTTAATTTGTTTCATGCTGCTTTACTACCTTTGCTGATTTACTTTCCATAAATTTAATACAAACCTCCTGCAGGTGATGAGGGAACTGTATAAAGTGACTAATAGATGCCAGATGTTGACAATATTGAGGGTAGTCCTTCAATCTGTCAACAAAATTAGCTATTAGTAGTAGGAAATAAACAGTCTGATCCATAACTTATTAGCATAATATAAAAATAGTTAATCTTTGCAAAACAGCCATGCCATTGCCTCATGAATGTTTTGCTTCTGATCAGCAACTAAAAATAACCCCAGAGAGGGAAGATCAAGGAGTGAAGTGACAAAAGCAGTATTGTGGCATTGCAACACAAGGCTTCTGCCTTCGGTTATATGCACCCTGATGTCATATAGGTAAATTGACATGATGGTGCAATGGTTCAACACTGCTTTTTCAATTTCATTGTACACGTTGTACATTGACAATAAATGTTTGATTGACTGATTGATGGTGTCGGCAGTAGCGGCAGCGTGAGGGGCAGTGCCAGGCAACAAGCCCTCAAATCCCTGCGGGTCCAGATGGTGAGGTGGAAAGCCTAATGCCCGAGACTTGCCAACAAGCCAGAAAAGAGCTCCATTCCTCAGTAAACGCTCAATTCAAAAGTACTCGGAGATTTCTGATTCCTCCCATCATTGACCAGCATGCCAGAAAAGAGCTCATTCCTCGGTAAAGCCCTCTATTCAAAAGCGCTCAACGATCTGCAACTCGACCCATCTTTACTAGAAGGTAAGGCAGTGAGACGGTGAGATTCATCCCATCCTTGCAGGGCGGGGAGCACCGGGAGCTGTGAGTTGGTCTTCAGACATTTGCAGCCAGGGTGTGAAGCAGACTGCTTCCCCTCCCCCGCCACCCCTCCTTCCCTCTTCACCAAATTGCTAATCCAGACTCCCTCTTTAAAAGGACAGTAACTTAGTTTTGTTATAACTGAACTCCTGTGAAGATTGGAAGCAATTCTATTTCCTGTGATAGAAGCAGAAGTATATTCAAGCCAGGAGCGAATGCTCAATACAAATCTGAGTCTACATAGTAAAAATATAAACTGTTTGAATTGTCAGTGCAAGACTATCTACGTGCCTCTTTCTCTTAAAGCAACAAACTTTGAAAGTGTATTTAATTAACTAGGAGGGACCCAGAAATCCCATTCATCAAGGGAAAACAAAAAAAAAGTTTCCTGTTGCCTCCCTGTGAATTGTTCTGTTTATCTCTGCTGAAGAAGGTGCCAGAGATCCCACCCTTCAGCATCTTTGCATCTTTACTATCTCAAAAACTCAATCTACAAAACAAGACAGAGAGTGTAAACCCTTGCTCACTGGTTGTTTTCAAGAGGAAAGAGTGTTTGACACAAAGAAACTGCTGTTTCTCCAGCCCAGGAAAAGAGGCCTCCTGCCAGTTTATTAGGGTTATAAACCTATTCTCAGATATCAGCAACAGCTAAGCAAAGCAAACTTACTCTCAATAATACTTCATTACTTTCAGTATCTCAAAACTTATAACTTTCTACCTCAAGACCTATATCAAAGATTAGATAATGATATCTCCAAATCAATTTCTTTAAAACAATTAATTTTTATCAAATGATTAATTGATTTATTGTTTTTATTGATTATTATGATTGAGTGTTTAGTGCATATAGTGTAATTACTGAATATCTGATTAGTAAAATCAGTGATTTAGTTAATTTAATTGACCAGTGTGTTTAGTAATTACTGTAATAAATTAGGCTGTTTGTTGCTTAGCAAAATTATTTTGATTAGAGTGATTTGAATAACCAATTGATTGATTCATTGATTTTTAGTAATAAGTAACCTTACTTTTCATTTGTTCTCTAACATATCAATTAACATTTATTAATTACCAACATTCATTAAGTAACTGTCTACCTATCTCATTAACTAGCTATTGTAATTGTTTAGTGTACTATTGCCATTGACCATGCCAGCCAAAAACTCCAAACTAAAACAAAAGAAAAATATATCTACCAATGACCTCCCAGAATCCTGCACGTTTCAGATGTCTTGAAACCATCAATGAAAGCGAAATTTACATCAAATGCCGCCTATGAGACAATCTAGCCCACCCTGCCTGCTTAAACGCAAACAAAAACCTGCCTGATATGGTTAAAAATTCAGATACATTCTTTTATCTACATCCATCATGTTCTCCTAACCTAAAAAAAATGAATACCCTACCTGACAGAGTTGAAAACATAGAATCACTCATTCACTCAATAGAAAAACGCTTAGCAACACGTTTTGAAACAACTATACAAGCAAGCCTAATCCCTCTTGAAAAAAAAATACAGCACAGATAAGTGAGTACCTATCAGCTCTAAATCAAATCCCACAACAACCACAACCACTACCTCAAGTACAATCACAACTACAACCAAAAATAACCACCAAACCACAGCCACAAACAATTACTATTCCTTCAAATAATTCCACAAATAATATCTCCTTACTCATCAGAGACACCATGGAACATGAGCAGAAACATCCAAATGCAGGCATGATATTCCCCTCTGAAAAAAAAATCGGGGCCGGCCAAAAGAGACCCCGCGCCGTGAGCCAAGAAATCGCACACACAACACCAACGCTACACACCCTTCCTTTCCAGCCAGTCACGTGTGGATCAGCTCCAGAGCTGGGCAGCCGCTTCCCTGGGGGCGGGGCCAAGGCCGCCGCCCGGGGAGCACCCGCTGCTTTCCCTCGCCAGGGCCGGGCGGTGGCGTGTTGCACGGAGAGACAGATGGTCCGTGGCTGCCCAGCTCCCTTTTCCTGCCGCTCAGTGGCCTCCGCTCGCACCACCCAGGCTCCGCTCAGGTATCCGGCTGGGGCTGTCAGGAGTTGCTACCGCCAGTGCGGCTCCGCGCGACTCCAGTCCCGTGTTGCCTTGGGAAGGGAAAGGCAAAACCGGGAGCTGCTGCGCCTGAGCCTCCGGTGCCGCTGCTGCTGTTGCAAAGTGCCGCCGCGGCTCTTCCTTTTTGCCTTTCCCTTCCCGAGGCAACGCGGGACTGGAGTCGCGCCGGCGGTAGCAACTCCTGACTCAGGGGGCCTCCGAGGGGAGGGGAAGGAAGAGAAGAAGGGGGGGG